CCACCGACACCCGCGCAGCAGCTCAACCCGGCACGACGAGAAGTCCACCGAAGTGCAAACGTCACCGCCGGCTTCTACTCCAACTCCGACACGTACCAACGTTCACCCGGACACCGCGCCACTTAAGGTACCTGGCACGCAAGGATGGGACATCCGAGCCACACAGTGTTAAACAACACAATAAGAGCAGGAGTGCTCGACAAAGACTCACTTCTACTGACCGACGGCAGAGAACTTCAACGAGCTCGAGGAACATGCTTCACCTGCCCCGAAGCAGACTTAACGCATCAACCGTTTCCATCTCACCATAATCCAAGCGCACCAGCTTACGCGCCACTCGAAAAGGTGTACAGCGACATCCTGTACAACCGCGAGCCCGGACAAAACGCCTACAACTACACGATTACCTTCATCGACGCCGCGACCAGATACGTCTGGCATGTCAACCTACTGAGCCGCGACATGGCCTTCGAAGCGTTCGTCGCGTGGCTTCCTGCAGCAGAGAGAGAATCGGGCGTAAAACTGAAAACTTTCCAGTCAGACGGAGGAGGAGAATACACCTCACAGAGGTTCAAGGACTACTTGGCAGAGAGGGGAATCAAGCGGCTCATCTCCCTTCCCTACGCCCATCAACAGCAAGGCGTAGCAGAAAGGATGAACAGGACACTCCAAGCCACCATGCGCAAGCTGCTACGTGGCATGCATCTGCCCAACCACCAGTGGCCCGAAGCAATGGACCACGCCGTCATGCTGCACAACTTGCTCTCGTCATCATCGCTCCCGAACAACGCATCACCGCACCTGCTGTGGACAGGAAAATTGGGCAGCACAAAAATGTTGAGAGTCTTCGGCTGCATGGTACAGTACCGACCCCCATCTGCACGCGCCGGCCGATTCTCCCAACGTGCACAGTGGGGAGTACACCTGGGCATCGAAAAACACTACAACGCGTGGAAAATCTTCGACATCAACAGTAAAGAAACAGTCGCAGCACGTGATGTCCTTTTCTACGAGAACCTCACCCTCGACGTTCACCTCGCCTACGTAAGAGCAAACAGACCTGATCCCTCGGGCGGATTCACTGGAACCCGAGCCTTCGCTTCGGCAGAAGACGAAGCTGACTGGGACGAGCAGAATGTGGACGGAGCCTCGGAAGAAGCCGGACCACTACCGTACTGCTGGGTGGACGTACCAATGGACGACGACAACCCTCGCGAAAGCATCAACGCCGAAGTCTTCTACAAGTTCGCCGACGACGGTTACGTTACACCTGAGCAAGTCAACACCAACGAAGCAGAACGCATAGGGCCCAACTTCGCACCTGATCCAGAAGCTGGAGACGAAGCAGTCTATCCCGAGGACACCACACTCCCCCGCTACACACAGAGTGGACTTCAGATACTCGGGCTCGTCACCGCGGTCCACGGCGCCGCCATTCCTAAGGAGCCTGCAACGGTTCAGCAGGCTCTGGGTGGGAAGCATAGGGAAAAATGGCGCGAAGCCATGGACAAGGAACTGAAGGCATTAGAGGAGCGCAACACGTGGAAAGTCGTTCCCATCGCCGTAGCACGAAACAAGAAAATCCTTACCGGGAAATGGGTCTTCCGTGTGAAGACGAAAGCAGATGGCACCATCGACAAATTCAAAGCACGCTGGGTCGTGCGCGGCTTCGACCAGGAGCACGGACGGGACTTCACCGAAACCTTCGCTCCGGTCAGCCGCCACACTTCACTCCGCATCCTCCTCGCAATCGCCGCCATGAAGAAGAAGAAGCTGCGACAGATTGACGTCGCGAACGCATTCCTCTACGCACCTGTTGACGCAGAGATTTTCGTGGAGCTACCACACGGCTCCAACACAGACTCCACGCATGTCTGCCAGCTGCTCAAGTCGCTCTACGGGATCAAACAAGCCCCGCGACTATGGCAACAGTACCTGCACGCTCGCCTCATTCGCATCGGCTTCAAGCAACTCCCGCACGACCAAGGCATGTACCGACTCACGAAGAACACCGACTACATCCTACTAATCGTCTACGTAGACGATCTCCTCTACATCGGGTCAACTGACGGCATTACCGCTTGGTTCGAAGGGGAGCTGCAGCAAGACCTCACACTCACGGTCTCGTCTACCGTCACTCAGTACCTCGGCCTCAACATCCGAGAAGAAGAAGACGCGATCTACCTCAACGCCGCGAAATACGCCGACACCATCGCCAAGCGCTTCGCTCTCACGCCGACCGCCATCTCCACACCGTACCGCTACACGACAAGAAGCGACAAGGGATAATCCGCTCTACTCAAGCCCGCCGGCATACGCGACTACCAGAGAAAGCTGGGGTGTCTTCTTTTCGCAGCCGTTACCTGCCGTCCTGACCTTTCATACTCCGCAAGCCAGCTCGCCACCTACCTCAAGAAGCCCGAAGCAGAGCATCTAGCGGAGCTCGACCGCGCTCTTCACGACCTCGTCAGCACTCCAACAATCGGGCTGACCTACCACAAGAACGCAACTGCACCGACTAAGCTAATCGGCTACGTCGACGCCGATCACGACGGCGACTCCGATAACAGGCGTTCACGCACCGGCTACGTCTATCGTCTCGAACCTATCGGACCTATCTCCTGGCAGTCGAGCAAGCAGGAGTTAATCGCACTATCATCAGCTGAAGCAGAATACATCGCACTCTGCTCAGCCACCAAGGAAGGCCTTTATCTTCGCGAGCTGCTGGAAGAAGCGAAGTTAGCCGAGTTACCCAACTTCACCCTGTTCTGCGACAACCAGTCGGCAATTCGCATCGCCAACAAGAACGGCTTCGCGAACAGGACGAAACACATCGCCCTACGCTACTTCTTCGTGAAGGACGAGATCGAGAAGGGGAGAATTGAGCTGTCATACTGCCCCACATCCGAGATGGCAGCCGACTATTTGACCAAGAAGCTCGGAAAGCAGAAATTCGAGTACTGCATGCTGCTGACTGGACAGAGCCACGTCACCAGCAGCGACACTCCAAAAGCGAAGGGGAGTGTTGGAAACAGTAAATCTTAAGCGCCTCTGTCGTGTCGAAACATCGCACCAGAAGTGAAGCAAACCATATCGAAGCACCCGCGAGTCAACCCTCGGAGGTTGAGAGGTTGCTGGAGGTTACGCGAAAGTCAAAGGTCAAGCGACCTTTGACCTGACAAGTGCAGCGCGACAGTTAAGGACACACAACTGACTCGTTACAGAGCAGTTGCCCGAGTCGTACTGTATCGAACCGCAACAGCAACAGCAAATTAGTTACAACCGTATCTTTTCGTATTCCTTGTACTATTATATAATCTTGTATCTCTTCACTATAATCAACTTACTTTGCCCTCACATACCAGCGCAAGGTGGTTCACAAGTTCCTTTTTTATTAAGAACGCTTCCGCTATTACAAAGTTCCTACCCAGAGTTCACCCCCTGAAAAGATCCTAAGGGCTGTTATCAGCCCAACATTATTGACAACCCTTGGGTAGCAGGGGTGGGTAGTTTATTTGAATATGTTTTGAGTGGGCGGGTGAGTGGTGGACATGTAAAATGCCATAGGAATGTGCATGTTACTTAGACCATGCCCATTCTGTTAGGTAAGTATTCGTTTTATGGTTGTAAGAAACGTTCTAAGAAATGATTAACGTTTGCGTTTCTGAAATATGACTGCGTACAAATACACTTTACGCAACCGTTCCGACGGCTGAATATCGAGACTTGTTGAATAAGTTATCATGGGCCGTCCCAGGCCAAACCGTCCACACTCAGGCCTACACCCTGCCTTACCGATGCCTACGAGCCTACTGCAATCCACACGCACCTTGCAGTGCTGTGTGCGACGCGACTTCACCTGGTCACAGCAGATCGTCGCCTCATCTTACTGTTCTACAGTATGGAAGCAGAACCAGGTGCCGATGCTGTGGAGCCCGTTTGGATCCTGGGATGCGTCCCAGATAGTGGGTTTGAAATACCCCTACCCCCAGATTAGGGCATGGATTCCTGGAGGTTCGGGAATGGAATCATGGAGGAAAGGGAATGGTTTATTCCAGCGGACGAGTAAATTGAACTACTGCACTGTCATCCACTTTAGTAACGTCTAGCGGACAGCAGAGCAAGCGACTTTCCTATCGAATAGGATAGTCTTCCCCCTTCCATTCAGTACGCGCCGCTCCGGGGGGCCAATCAGAGTCGATTATCGGTGAGCAAGTCTTATCTGTGCTGCGACTACGTTCTATCGGTGAATTGTGGTACTTTCTTGGCCTCTGTCAGATGCGCTGACACGGTTTGTGACGGGTACGGATTCGAACGCGTCTCTTAGTGGCGAAGCTTTGGAAACTTGTGACGGGTATGAAATCTACTAGCTCCAAAGCTTCGTCACAGTGTGTGTATACTCGTAAGGTTCTACGATAGAAACCTGGGGGGCCACGGATGAGCGCGCTCGTGAATCTCCTTCCCCCTTCCTCCCAACGCCCCGTAAGGCAGTAATGCCGCGCGGCGCGGCGCGGCGCGGCGCGGCGCGACTATCAGGACCTCCCATCGTCGACGATCCCGCAGACCTGCTGACGTCCCAACACTGCTGCTAGCTCGGAATTGGCGGCAGGGTGCGCGTAAAGCGCGCTGCTCACGGCCGTGCAGCACCCCATGGTCCGGCGCTCCATCTTGACTCCGCTCCTCGCATCTTTCTCCTCGCCCCCCGCAGGCTCTCCCAGCGAAGGCTCTCCCAGCGAAGGCTCTCCCAGCGAAGGCCCTCCCAGCAAAGACCCTCCCAGCGAAGGCCCCACCGCATCCACCGCCCGCGGCGTCAGTGCTGCCGCCACCGCCGCACGAGCGCCAGTGGCGCCGCCGATTGTGGAATGAGGAGGGCGAGGAGGCCGTTGAAAGCGGCGGGAGGAGTTTGGGGAGGGAGAGGGGGGAGAGGGGTGATGGCGAGGAGCGGTGGCGCGGGGTTGGTCAGGCGACTGGCTGTGATGGGCGTGGTGGCGGTGATGGCGATGGTGGGGAGCGATGAGGGCCTCACGAAGGGTTGCTTCTGGCGCAGCAGCGGCTGCAGCCGTGGCCTCTTTCCCATGGCGCACGCTGCTACCCTTGACCCCAGCCAGTGTGAGCCTGATATTGTGGGAGTCTGTGGACGTTTCCATGTGCGTGCGTGCGTGCGTGTATGTGTATGCGCGTACGCGTGTGAGTGTGCGCATCGCGTGCGTGTGTGTGTTTCTGCGTGAGTGCTTGAGCGAGCGCGCGCGTGTGCGTCTGCGTGTGCGTGTGTGTGTGCGTGTGTGTGTGTGTGTGTGTGTGTGTGTGTGTGTGTGTGTGTGTGTGTGTGTGTGTGTGTGCGTGCATGCGTGCATGCGTGCGCGCGCATGTGCGAGTGTGCGTGCTTGTGCGTGTGAGAGTGTGAGTCTGTGTGTGTGAGTGAGTGAGTGCGTGATCTTGTGTGTGAGTGTGAGTGTGTGTGTGAGTGTGAGTGTGTGTGTGAGTGTGAGTGCTGCAATGCACCCAAGGCACCACCGTCACACGCACATGCCGTTCACATCATCGTCATCTGATGGCCTGGCTTCACCGCAACCTCTTTCCCCTCCACGTGCTGGGATCATCACAACCGTCCCTTGTCCCTCACATATCACTGCCCCTTCCTTTCACGGCACCCATTGCTGCGCTGCACCCATTGCTGCGCCACACAGGGCCGGGGCTGCGAGACATGAAGGCACAGTGGGGCAGTATAATTCCGAGCATCACCGACACCTGGGTGGAGAACGGTGACTGCAGCAGTTACAAGAACGTCCACTGCAATGCTGCTGGCTTCGTGACACAACTGTGAGTGCGGAGCATTCTTGACATGAGAGCCCTTGATATGAGGTGCTGTTGGCATGAGGTGCTATCAGCATGAGTCTCTCATTCCGGATTGTGTGAGCTGGGATGGCGCACAGGCATGAGTGGCATTACATGCACGAATGATGGCTAGTCCTTTGTTGGTATGCCGGCCTGTGTCAGCCATTCAGCACCTTCTAGTCTGCCTGCACCCTCACGGTCCTCACCCACACGGTCTTCACCCACACGGCCCTCACCCTCACGGCCCTCACCCTCACGGTCCGTACCCTCTGACGTTCCCTTATGCGTGTGGACGCATCGTATCGCACTGTGTGTGTGTGTGTGGCGGACGCCTGTTTGATCAGAGACCTAGCCAACAGAAGACTCACAGGCTCTCTTCCTGGCACCATTGGAGTCTTCATTGATCTTCAGTACTTGTACGAATTCCTTAACCCTTTCTTTATGCCCCTCCATCTCACCTCCTCCTGCCCCTCTCGTTGACACGAGCACCGGTCGAGTCGATTGGTTTGAGAACTTTGAGTAGGTAGGTCTTGAATGGGCTGCTTTGTAGGGTCGAGGCGATTTGATCTGAGTTGGTGAGCATAATCATTGTTTCTGAATTGGACGTTCAGCATCTTTACTTCAGTCAAAGGTGACTGTAGCTGGCAGCTATTTTTTTTTTTTTTTTTATACGCCACTTAATCTTCTGTGTAGGGTACATAAGTGTTACTGGTGAAAGAGGTGATAGTGCAAGAGGGCTGGCGGTATGAAAGGGTCTTGTGGTGAGATTCAAGCAAATAGGCGAGGAGGGAGGGGGAGGGGGGGGGGGGGGGGGGGGGGGGAGGGATAGTTCGAAGGGGGCTTTGTTACGAAGCCGTGTTTGCTATATTATGGTGTGGCCGAAACATATGACAAAGGTACATGTTGATCCGTGCTTTTTCTTCTTCCTCTTCTTCCGTTTGGCATTTTGAGCTGATGTGATGCGAAAGGAGGTACTAGAATGAGTGAACCAAGGTATTCAAAGGAATGTCGTGTGACAGATTTTGCTCCTAGGCAACAGGTGGTGAGTGTGATGCATTTTCTTTGCGAGCAGGTGAGAGTGACGATCGTTTTCCAGCAACTGCCAAAAATGCGCGAAATCGGGGAGTTCCGAGAATTGAACTCGGGACCTCTCGCACCCTAAGCGAGAATCATGCCACTAGACCAAACACCCATGAATCTCCTTGATCCATGTTAACTTATAGCAGGTAATAGAAAACAGACTTCTGATGCCGTCTGTCTTAAACCGCCACACTCGCGAGCCAGGCTTTGCCTGCGAGCTGAATATCCTGGCTCAACTCAAGCATTCAGACTTGCCACGAGCCATGCTGGCTCAACTGTGTGTGCGTTACTGCCACGCTCGGGGCAAGCAACATGAGCAATGCGGCTCTGAGTTGTATGCCTGCCACATCGGTTGAGACGGCTCAACCCCAACTTGGTGTGGGCGTGACAGAGATTCAGAGAGTTGGAGCACGTCCCGATAAAGTCAAGGCAAGGGATGCAAATGGTGTGAATGGAGTGGGGAGTTGACAGCAATGAGGGATTGATTGTATGAAGACTGTTTATGATACTTACGAATGATATTGGCTGTTGAAAAGATAGCATGTCAGACAGACGGTGGGCATCTTTTAGGTTTCGGTCACGCAGGCTGGGGAGAGGAGGGGGTTTGGGGCACGTTGCTGCGTTCGCACATTGCTCATGTCTGCTCTGGAGTGTGCGGCAGAAGGAAAATCAGAACACACTGTGACGTAGAGGAATATCAGTGAGACCGGGGAGGCTTGTGTCTTCTTTGCCTTTTCGCAGCCTGAATCGTCATTCGATCGCTGCGTCACCCACGTCCCTTTCATCCTCCACTCCAGTGTTCACACACGCATCCCATCACCCTTCTGTGTCCCTTTGCACCTCTTGCATTCACCTTTCTCATTCTCACTCTCGCCACCCTTGCTGTCCGCTCCCTCCCCACGCCCCATCGGTTCCCACTCAGCTATATAGACTCCAACTTTCTATCGGGCCCGCTCCCATCCACCTTCTCCAGACTCGTTGCTCTAAAGGAATTGTGAGTTGAAATGAGTTGCTTCTTTCATCACGCAGCTACCTATGCCAGAATAGTCATGTTGTTGCTTGCAATGCAACACCCACACAGCTCCCAGCCTCCCAGGCTGACACATTGAGTTGGCAATAAAAAGCCTCTCTGGCTATTGCCACATGCATGCTTCTCTGCCCCTGTAGGCTCCTGACGGGTTTTTTTTGAGTCGACTCAAAAGTCAGCCGTTTCTTGCCTTGTGGCGAACCGGCGGGGCATGTGTCAGCAACAGCAACAGCAACAGCAAGCACCACTGAAGGGCCTCTTCCAGGCCTTGGCTTTCGAGAATTCACAAACGCTTGTGTGGCGACGAGGTAGCCGGGCCATGTGTTGGCAATAGCAAGCACACTTTAGGGCGCTCGCGGCTCCTGCCGGCCCTGGCTTTTGGAGAATTCACAAAGGCTTGTGTTGTGACGAGCCGGCCAGGCTGTATGTTGGCAATCATCATCGATTAAGGGCTCCTGGCTCTAGCCGGCCGTGGCCCAGCCAGCCTGTTCTCGTGGAGCATTGATGCAATTCACCTTGCATGCCTTTGCAGCCCCTTTCATCCCCTTGCGTCACCTTGCATCCCCTTGCATGCCTTGCCCCACTGACCAAACAGCGCAGCCAATCACAATCAGCTCAGTGGGTCCCTGCCTGAGCACATCGGTGCCCTCACTGCCCTGCAACAACTGTAACGCCCTCCTCTCTTCGCCACCCCCCCCCCCCCCTGGACTGCCTCCTTCCCTCCCTCCCCCCTCCTCTTCCCCCCCCTCCGTACAATCATCTCTTCCCTTCAACTCGCTCCATCGTTTCATTTCCTCGCCATCAATCTCTCAACAACTTCCTTCCTATCCATAACACATCTAATTGATGATTTCTTTCTGCTCACGCGCATGCTAACCCACGCCAGAGGAGAGGAGAATCCGCTCCACCATGCATTCAAATACAGCATGTTACAGCCCGTGCCTCCCCTCCCTCCCGTTGTACCCACAACGTCCACTTGTAACAGCTCCCCTCATCCTGGTGATACATCTCCTTTCCACATTGCACCGTGCTTCTGTGAAACAGGCGACTGCAGGACAACCAACTGGAAGGGCCCTTCCCGGCATCCTTCACCCAACTGACTGCACTGATCTCATGGTAAGGCACCCCGGCCCCAGCTAGCAGCGCCAGCGACGTGCTTCTTTGAAGCGGGAGACTGCAGGACAACCAACTGGAAGGGCCCTTCCCAGTTCCCAGCATCCTTCACCCAACTAACTGCACTGATCTCATGGTAAGGCACCCCGGCAGCTAGCAGCGCCGCCATGCCATCTCCTGCTTTCTTGCTTGCTTGCTTGCGCCAGTTAAGGGCACAGACAGACTCCATTGATCCGTGCCGTTGGCATGGCACACTCCCCAAGGGCACGGAACGACTGCATGCCCTGTAAGTTGTGAACCTTAATTCGGGTCTATGATCATGCCATGCCTAGTCAGACTCGCTCCTCAAGCCACTCGCGGCACATGGCTTGTCTGGTCTGCTCTGGGCCCGGAGTCAACCGGACTGGCTCGGACCACGCTGGTTCCCTCACAACAAACTGGATGGTACGTCATGAACCTTAATTTGGTTCTATGCTCACGCTCATGCCGTGCCTAGTGAGGCTCGCTCCCTCAAGCCACTCGTGGCACATGGCTTGTCGAGAAGGCTCGACTCGACTACTCGTCTCCCCACATGCCACAAAGCAAGGCTCGCCGCAGTCGACACATGGCACCTTACTCATGAGTGAGTCGTGTCTATTAGTGCGCTGCTTGCTCCCATGGCCCTCATCTCCACCATGACATTCACTCATGTTATGCTGGTCTTGCGTGAAACATCCTGCTTCTTCCTTTCTGAATTTCCATCACCCCTCCCATCAGCGATATTCACAACAACCAGATTTCGGGATCTTTACCAGACGAACTTGGGAGTGTCTCCAAGCTATTAGAATTGTCAGTTCTTAGTCTCACGCCCTCACTCTGTGCTTCCTCCTCCTCCTCTCTAGTTCCCCCCCCTCTCCCCCCAAGACATGGCCCTCTTTATGGCCTTGCTTGTCATGATCGCTTGCTTGCTGCCTTTAAACATGAGCTCACATCAACAATTCTTGAGACGTCTCAAAACCGATCGATCGCTTGCTTGCTGCCTTTGAACGTGAGCTCACATGAGAAAACTTTGCTTGTCGTGATCGCTGGCTATTTGCCTTTGAAGAGAGCTCACATATTCAACAAGCCTCTTTCTCAGCTTCCCAGCCTGCCCGTCCTGGTCCTCTCCTCTCCCCCGGTCCAGGGAGACGTGTGGCTGTCTGTCACCCCTTTTGCTCCTTCTGCACAGCACCCCATGCACGCCACCCCATGCACATCCAGCCGCGCATTAATACTACGAGAAACGCACCACTACTAAATCTCCTCTCACCCGTGTTCTTTCTTTCAACCCCCATCTTTGCTCCTCCCTGCCGTGTTGCTGCCCTCACATCACCTCACCCCCCCAGCCGTGCCAACGACAACCTCCTATCAGGCCCCCTGCCCACCACGCTAACAGCCATGACCACGCTCTCTTACCTGTAAGCCTCTTTGCATGCTCTTGCATGCCCCCATCCCATGTCACTCAACGTTTTGGGAACCTCGGGCTGTAAGCATGAGCATAGGGCCGGGTTAGGGGCTGACCAGGGCTGGGCTGGGCCGGGAGGTCTCGTGGTAGAGATGGGGCTGGGCCAGGCACCATGACCCGTCACAGTTTAATTGGCTCTGACGCGTGCCACCTGAGTGAGCCACACGCATCACTTTCACGTCAATCTCTCGCTCAACTCGGAGGAGCTTGGTCTTGATCTGTACGCCACTATTTACGCCCGCCTTTCCTCAGCGTGCCTTTCGTGACCATAGGGGAGAAGTATGAACTTCACTTCACAGGTTGGCCCACCCACATAATTTTAGTCCACCCGCCCATTCAAGCCTTGCCCAGGGAAATGCCTTATGTATCGTGCCTTGCTCCACACTGCCTATGTTCACCGGATGCAAGTGTGGGCCTTGTTTTTGAGCAAGCGCATTGCTCCCTCCCATTGCTGCACATGCACTCTCGCTATGGTGTGCCCTTCATACGGTGCAAACGACAAGCTCCCGCCTGCCTTTCTTCGCCGTTTGTAACCTTCCATCCCCCCCCCTTCTCCCTCACCCGCACTTCCCTTCTCTTTTCCTCCTCGTCTTCTGCACCGGTCCTCTCCCTCTGCCCATGCTGCACATGCCCTTGCCTGGCACGGCAGGGAGCTACAGAACAGCAACCTGAGTGGACCCCTGCACCCCTGTAGCTCCCCTTGTTTCCCTCTCGCCCTCTGCACGTGTGCTCGACGCCTGTCCTGTCCCATGCACTCCTTGCCTGGCACGGCAGGGAGCTACAGAACAACAACCTGAGTGGACCCCTCCCTGCCAACCTGGGCACCATCTCCACACTCAAGACGCTGTGAGGCATGGGGCGGGTGGATGGGGCATGGGCGTGGACTCATGGCATGCACTGTGCACATAAGGCATGTGCATGGGGTATGGGCTATGGGGTTTGGGTCGTGTGGGGTTGGGACAGGTGTGGCATGATGCATGGGATGGGACGTGGTGCATGGGACGTGGTGCATGGGATGTGGTGCATGGGATGTGGTGCATGGGATGTGGTGCATGGGGTGGGATGGGATATGGGGCATGGGCATAAGCGCATAACAAGCCCACTCAACCCTCCTGCTCGTTCAAAACCGGCTGTTGAACTCCTATTCCCAAACTGTTTGAACGAGTGAGGTGGAGGGTCATACTGTGCACAGTGCACTCTGTGCTTACTTGATTGCTTCCACCCGTGTGTTGCCAAATGGCATGCTCAAAGGGAAATCCTCTGTATCTTTCGTGCTACATACTCGGTATGTCCACGCCTCTCCTTGTTGACCAATCAGTTTGACCGATTCGTCGCTGCCGTTCAAGCCCGTGCAGTGCTGCTCGCTGTGTGTTGAAACCTATCCATCCCTTGGTTCACTGCTTCACTGATATGTTCACCTCCCACGCCCTGCCATAGCTGCACCAAGATCCACATCTCTTACTCACATGTGCTTCTTGTCTGATACGTTTGCCCCTACGTTCTCACCCCTCTCTCCCCTTCCCTCGCCGCACATTCTCCGCCAGCAATCTGGCACACAACGCAATCACTGGCGCGCTTCCTAACCAGTGGTCAACACCTGACATCTATATGCTGTTCGCCTTCTTACTCTCTACTCTCTCTTTTCTTTTATGGGTAGGCGTGGCATGTGCGTGTGCGATTTCATATAAATCCTCTACTGCGCACATGCCATACTTACAGCATTCCACGCACTCACCACACGTCTGAACATGTCGCATCGCATCACCGGCTGCGTGAAGAAAGAAGTGTTTGAGACGTCTCAGAACACTTCTTTCTTCACCCAGCTGCATGAGCCAGCTGCACGAGCCAGCTGCACGAGCCAGCTGCATAAGTCAACTGCATGAGTGTGACCCGAGATAGCACTGCCCATGTCTCTCAACATTGCAGTGCTGCTTGGGATGCTGTGGCTCCCTGACTGCTCCTGCTCGTGCCTGCTCCATTCCATGCACAGCAGTGCGTCCGATCTGCATCCCTCCCTAAATTTCATCTTCCCCCCTACCCCAACCTCAACCTCCCTAACCCCCTCTCAACCTCCCTACCCCCCCCGAACCTCCCTATCCCCACCTCAACCCCCCCTTCCCTTCCAATCTACTCCGTCACTTCCATTTCATCCCCCCCTGCTGCCTACTTGCCAGCATTTAATGCCAGAAGGTCACCTGCTCAACTGTCTCTCTCTCCTTGTGCCATTCGTCTCTTCTCTCCCCCCAGGGATATCAGTGACAACCACCTGTCTGGCACAATACCGGACGATATAACAGGCTTGGTCTACCTCATACTTCTGTGAGGCTCTGTGAGGCTCTCACTGCTTTGAGGCTCTTTTTCTTTGTCCCTAGGCCACCCCCCCCCCCCCCCCCCCCCCCCCCCCCCCTCTCTCCCCCTCCTTTCGCTCTCTCCCACCCACACCCCCCCCTCTTGCCACCCACCGTTCCTCCCCAAGTATGTTGAGTCTTTGTCTAGGTTTCACACAGTTCATTCCATCCATGTATACTTGCCTCCTCCGTGGAAATTCGTATGGTGTTGGGCTTTGTTTCTCTCTCTTTCCTTACTGTCTACTGGCTGTGCAGGCCAGCCAAGTCACGGCTGGACAATCCGACCAGGTCCCATCACTTCCTTCATCCAAACATCCTCCCCATGCCTTCATGAACCACCCTTGCTTTTCTGTTTTCGTTTCCTCACTCTTCATTTCACCTCCCTTCTTTGTTGCTACATCCAGGGACCTGAGCTCCAACCGCCTTACTGGAACAATACCACAACATCTTGCTGGCCATAGCAACCTACAAGTTCTGTAAGCCTCCATACGCTACCAGCTCAGTATGTTTTTTGAGAATTCTCAAAAAACATTCTCAACCTACAAGTTCTGTAAGTTCCCCATACGCCACCAGCTCACTTGTCCTGTCATGCTTCCAACAGTATAATAGCTTTCTCCTCTTCGTTGCTCTCCCAAGCTCCAGCCATGCAGGTAAGAGTGTTCGCTCCTCTTTCATTCGCCTCCCCCGTTTGGTTGCCCCATCCATCCATTCCCCATCTGTCCATTCCCATCCTTCCATCCGTCAACCTTCCATCCCCCATCCTTCCATCCACCATCCTTCCATTCCCCATCCTTCCATCCACCATCCTTCCATTCCCCATCCTTCAATCTGCAGCAACCTGAGGGACAATCAACTCACAGGGAAGGTCATTGAGCCTGTGCCGCCAAACGCATGGATGTACAAGCTAGACAACAACTACTTGACTCAGGGGTTCTCCTCCCCACCACCGTGCGAGCAAGGCTACATCACGTACCACAGCAACTGTGCGGACGATCCAGCTCCCGGCCTTTTCTGTGGTCTGGACGAGAGTCAGAAGGCCGAGCCTGTCTGCGCTGCCTTCTGTGGTGTCTCTTCCACTTCTCCCGCCTGCAACGGCCATGGCACATGTTACTTGGACGGCCCCAGCAACGTACCCACATGCCTCTGTGACGATAACTACGTGATTGGGGAGTTCCCTGGCAGCTGCGTGGCTGTGGCAGGTGAGCCATTTATGTTTGGGTAGCTTGCATGCATCCAGCATCCCATGCCATGGCATGCCTTGTTTCTGCTCTACGTGTACTGTTGCTGCCAAGCATTGCATATGTCTTTCTCATGATTTCTGAGCTGGTACCTCCTAATATACGTAAGTATACTGGTAAAAGTTAGAATGTTATATCATCCATGAAAGCCAACCAACATTGTTCCCTGAATGTGGTTGGAAGGAGCTACCACCATGAGAGGACTGGAGTAAAGTGGGTTGGTTTTCTAATCACCATTGAGCTCGCAGATTAACTTTGTACCACAAGTGAGTGGATTGGCATCTAAAATGCAAATGTACACCCAAGGTGGGGCACATGCCCACCACATTTGGTGTACAGTCACGAAAGCCAAGCGTGCTAAGGCTAAAAGTAGCGCAACCTTTAAATCAGTGGGGGTCGTTGTAGGACGGGTAAGGCCGAATAGAGAAAGAAGAGTGGTGTGAGGGACGCGAATCAAACCTTGGTAAAGGAAGCTGGCAAGGTTGGTGTCGGCTGCAATCGTGCCAACCGCGAGGTGAACCTGTTGAACGAGCTCGTGAATGAAGAAATGGCGAAGCTCAATGTGCTTAGGCCTGTCGTGGAAGATAAGGCCTTTTTTTGAGGTGAATCGTGCTGGCGTTGTCACATTAGAATGCTTGGCATTGCTGTGGGGCGCCAAGGTCAGCGAGAGGGTAGCACAACCTCAGTGAGAAGCTCCTAGCCATGGCGCTGGAGTAGGGATTGGAGGATGTCTATGAGTCGATAATGGAGGGGTGTGTGGATCGCCAGCTAATAAGACAGCTGCCGAGCATGAAATCGTAACCTTAGGAGGGTCGGTGGTCTGGCTGCGAGTCTGCCAGGAGGAGTTGTTGAATTGAGAGAGGAGAGGGGGGAGGAACTACCAAGGGCAATGACATAGTCCTCCAAAGGTAGCGCAAGACCCTCTTGTCAGCAACGTAATGCTCGATGGCGTGGTAGCAGTGCGAACAACACGAGCAAGCACGCTGATGGGGTAGGCTAGGTTAGGGCGGGCATGCATCGTAGTGTACATGAACGATCCTACGAGCACATCATGGTGTGCCATCTTGAGTCGATCCAAGACCCGGTCAATGTAGAAGGTTTGGGAGGGAGTGAGGGTGAGAGCAGCCCGGTCACGCGTGACCATCATGTCCAAGTAGTGCTGTGGGCCTTCGATTTGAGGTCCTTGCACTTGAGGCGCTCCTGCAGCGACTGCGTTATCTATGCCATACCTACCATGTCACCAGCAAGAAGAATCATGTCATGTACATAAAACCAAAACAAAGAAGCGACGAGGTGAGGAGCAGATGGAAAAATAGGCATCAGAGGCAGTGACGTCAAAGGACTGCAGGGTGGTGGCTGGCTTAGCATGTCACCCCCTCGGCGACGGCGCAACTGTCACACCGTCCGCAAAGAAAATGGAATCTAGGAGCCCGCTTCATGAAGATTCGCTCCACACGCGGTTGCTGCCGCGTTGGGCTTAACGTGCTACTGCCGGTGCTACTGGACTTCTGGGGTGACGTCTGAGGCTGCAGTAAGGGGCGGGGCTAGGCGAGGTCTGAAATGTCCACGGGCGGGCGCGGCAACCGTGAAAGTACACTCCGATGCAGCAGCCGCGTGGACAACGGTCACATGCAGCAGCCGCACGGACGATGACTTGGGCCAGCGCTGCATGTTGGCGGGCAGGCACAGTGGCTGTGCGTTGACGAGTTGATGTGTTCCAGTAGCTACACAGCCGGAAGGTCGCGAGCTCAGATAAAGGGGGTTGTTAAGTAGCGGGCGAGTGCAGCCCATATCCCTCCAAGCTTTACGCTTGTAACCCATCCCTAGGATCAATCGAGGATCCCCAGTGCAAGTCTTTTGACTCATTCATTCACAGAAATGCTCAGGATACGGCAAAGCAATATCGACATATGGGCGCTGACATGCGTGTGCGAAGAGAAGGTGATTATGGGAGAGCCTAGGCACAGAGTTGCACTATCGGAGAGAGGTGGAGCTTTGTGTATACGGACTTGTTGGGAACCGGACAGTGGTGTTTTGAAACCATATGCTTGGTATGAAGTAAACGAAGGAATGATATTGATAAATTGATCAATTACAAGGGAAACAACATGAACCTTTTAGGAGAACGTTGTTCATGAAGAACGTTGTTCCAGGCTAGCACCGCCAAGTGAAACCGCCATCAAGTGAAAATACAAACAAGTGTAATTTCTACTGGCCAGTAGTTTTTGCGTAGGTCCTTGCATCACAGACAGTTGTACATACTTGTTTGTGCAATGTTGTCACTTCCCTCCAATTTGTTCCAATGCCGAAATGTGCATATCGAAAGGCACTGATTGGACTGTACTCAACGATTTCCGTAACAACAACATGCAGTATGCGAAACCTCGCTATTTCGCACAGGGCTGTTACACGCGAAACCAGGCGACTGCAGGGCTTCGCCTCAATAGTGCGCACGTGGGGATTTGAGGCACAGACTTTCGTGCAGGTCGGAATTCCAACCACTGCACCACTAGGATAAAAAGGAAATTCAAGCAGCGGATGAGTGCGCCCATAACCCCTCAGGCTTAACGCGTGTAACCCTTTTCTAAAATTAGTCGGGGATCCCTAGTGCAGGTCTTCTAACACAAATGCCAAAACGAGCCCAGTAAAACTCATGATGACTGTGTGCCTCTTTCGGTAGAGCTCGTTCTGCACTTGCTTCTCAAACAGTCTCTATTCCCCCCATCCCACGTGCAGGTGGTACGACAGAGCAGCAGCTGACCCCCACAGCAGCCACGCTCACAGCCACTGGCGACGCCTCAGTGGATGCTGCAACAGCCATGCTCACTCTCACGCCCGCCCAGCCGTCCAAGGCTGGCAGTGTGTTCCTGGCAGCGCGCGTGCCGCTCTTCTCCTACCAGCTCATTGGGGACTCCTGCGGCCGCCAGCTCGCCTTCTCCTCCTCCTTCTCCTTCACTCTCACCCGCCCTGCTGCCTCCGGCTCCGAAGGCTTTGCCTTTGTGGTGGCCTTTGATGCCACCCCGCCCACAACACCGGTGGCGGGCGGCATGGGGTATGCGGGGATGGGAGCGCGCAGCGTGGCAGTGGAGTTTGACACATCGATGGATGTGGGCAACAACGACCCTGACAGCAACCACGTGGGCATCAACACTGGCGGCAATGTCACGTCGGTTGTCACAGCAACGCCCAAATTCTCTCTTAATGACGGCAAGCCCAAGCACGTGTGGATCGAGTACGACCCTTCCTCTAGTGGCTCCCTGCGCGTCTTCCTCTCCTCCCAGGCGTCCCCTCGCCCCACCACCCCCCTCCTGTCGGCACGCATCTCCCTGTGTGAGGAGCTCGCCCCCTCCCCATCGGAGTACACCTTTGCCATCGGCTTCACTGCTGCCTCCGCCACCCAGCCTCAAAGCCATGTCGTCTCCGCCTGGACCCTCTCCACCTGTGAGTGCACCTCTCCACCTGTGAGTGCACCTCTCCACCTATGAGCGCTCTGCATCCACTTTGCACCCGTGCGTTTATCCTGTCGTTTGCGCTCCCCATTTTGTTGTTCGCTTGTCCCCTCTGTTGAAAATGAAAGTCGACAAACAATGACTACAGCCCTAACTCGTCTCTTTGTTTTTTTTTTTGTTTCTGTTTCTGTTTCTGTTTCTGTAATTGTCTTTGTCTTTGTCTTTGTGTTGTTGTTGTTGTTGTTGTTGTTGTTGTTGTTGTTGTTGTTGTTGTTGTTGTTGTTGTTGTTGTTGGTGTTGTTGTTGTTGTTGTTGTTGTTGTTGTTGTTGTTGTTGTTGTTGTTGTTGTTGTTGTTGTTGTTGTTGTTTTTGTTGTTGTTGTTGTTATTGTTGTCGTCGTCGTCGTCGTCGTCGTCGTCGTCGTCGTTGTGTGTGTGTGTGTGTGTGTGTGTGTGTGTGTGTGTGTGTGTGTGTGTGTGTGTGTGTGTGTGTGTGTGTGTGTGTGTGTGTTTTTTTTTCTTTGTTCGGTTTCAGATTTTCCTATTCAGCCAGCTCCAGGTATGACATGAACCAGCAGTGGAGTTGCTTTTCAAACGAGTTCAGTGCTCACTGGTTTTTTCCGTCAGCAATCCTCATCCATTATGTCTACCATGTACCCTATCCTGGGTTGCAGTTGCGGCGCGGGGCTTTACCTTCAGCGAGGCGGCACTCTCTCTATCGGGAATAAACCACTTTTTCCGCTATGCCAGCCGGGCAGTGCTGCTCCCGTGGGTGGCAATGACGTGTATGGCGTGCGCCCTGCGTCATCATGGGTCAGTCCAAACTTCACATGGCCTGTCAAGACACAGACAACTTGCGGTGGGTACTGCTGGACCCCCACCCACCCCTTGTTCATAGCCCGTGCCCTTGGGCATGGACCGAACCCGGGCGAGCCTGCCTCAAACCAAATTGGTGTTGCCGTGGTTTAACCCTCCTCTTCTCTCCTCTCGCACACCCACAGTCCATGTAAAACCTTAGCAGGGGGAGAGTGGGGCTAGTGAGATCTACCATGGTATGTTGTGATAACAGTGTGCCTATGCAAACCATTTGTTTTGTCTATGCATGCCTTGCCTGGCAGGCGACTGCTGGGCGTACGCAGTGGTGAGCAGTGTGGAGGCGGCGCTGGGCATTCTCGCCAACACCTCAGCGGCGCCTTTGCTGTCAGTGGAGCAGCTGAAGGCCGCCATGAAGGTCGGCTGCTCTGGCAGCACGCCCTCTCAGGCCTTCCAGCTGCTGCTCAAGCTCGCACGCAAGGGAGAGGGGCTCGTGCTGGAAACCCAGTGGGTGGCGGAGAAAGGCAAGAAACCTGTAAAGGCAGGCAACAGCAATCATTTCTGTTCCCCGCTGCTGAAGCCACTGACCAACCTGTTCGGTGCGTCGTGCGGCAATGGCACGGCCAGTCTACATGTGAGTGAGCTAGTGCTAGGTTACTACAGCACGGCTGGTCGGATAGACTCAAAGATTGCTGTTTCATTGTCTGAGCAGTCAATTTCTGTGCTGCTCAAGTTTCTTTCACACTGAATGCTTGTAAACCTGGATGCAGCTCCAAGCTAGAGTTTCGTGTGCATTGGTCCCCCTCCATACGCCATGGTTCGATCTCAGCTACGTCCACTCCCTGTCCGTCACATCTCCCAGCATCTCTCTGGTGGCTTCCCCATCAGCGGCTTTGAGTCGACGTCCTTCTACGGCTGGTTTGGGCTGCTGCTGGCCGTGCAGCGGCAGCCAGTGGTGGTGCACATTGAGGCCTCAGCTGCGTCGTTTAAGAATTACGATGGGGTGAGGCGAGCCGTGTGGGTGTGAATGAACAGGAGGGCATGGTTTGAATGAATCAAAGGGAGATGAATAAGTAGGAAAGCTGCCGTGAATCCGTAGGGGTGTGTGTATGTGATTGTTCGCTCTTTGTGCGTTCCTTTTCATGTGTATGTGAGTGTGTGCCCAACCCTCCCTTCCCACACGCGCGAACCACGTTGTACTTCTATCATTACCGTCCCTTACCTTACCCATTCATCCTTACCCCTAGTTGTACAAGTACCAGGACCCTGACTGCTTCACGTACAACCTGAACCACGTGGTGCTGCTGGTGGGTTACCGCCTGGTGGGTGAGGACGCGCGCTTCCCCCACATGGCGCCGCCCTTCTGGATCATCCGCAACTCATGGGGGCCTGACTGGGGCGATGGGGGCCACATGCGCATGGACATCCAGGGGGGGGATGGCGTGTGCGGCATCAACTCGCTGCCAGGCCTCTACCCCGTGGTCAGAGGTGAGTGTTGCACCAAAGGTGAATGCTCAGTCAAAGGTAATTGCATGGAATCGCTGCCAGGCCTCTACCCCGTGGTCAGAGGTGAGAACAAGGGCAAAGGACAGTACAAGATGAAAGGTGAGTGTACGGTCTAGGGTGAATAGATGCATGTAATAATTTTTATACACCCTTTCAATTCCGACCGCCATTTTCAGGTCTCATAATGTTGCACATAATCTGTTATTTTGAAGATTTGCGAACGAACCGAATTCTAAACTACCCAAATTTGACGGTAGGATTGTGCACCGTTGTCGTACCCCTAGAGTGAGAACGAGGTTAAAGCATCTTATTTGCAGCACCACTAGAGTGGTGGAGGAAGTAAAAACATCTGAGAAATAATGCTGGAGTTGGGGCTTCTTAGAAAACCTTGTGAGAAAAAGGTTTTCAAAAGTGGATGAATGTTTCTACCAACATCGACAGATCTTTCATCATGACAAGTCATGTCATATGCCAAATACAATCTAGTTGGATTTTCGTTATGTGTGTTGCAACTTTAAAAACAATCGCTATAAATCATATTACCACTAATTCAATGTCAATGGTCCCTTCTTAACCAAGTAATGGTCCCTTCTAATAGATGGAGCATCCATCTATGAGCATGTCAAAATAGTAATCCAAATTAGACAATGGTATTGGAAATTTCAAGACTTGAAAATCTTGAAACTTGGGCGTTCTTGGTCGGACAAATCAAGTCAATTTCAACAAACATGCATGCTCATGCAAATATGCAAGCATGAAATGACGTGACCACTCGCAGGACTTGAGGAACACAAATTCAGACCCCACCTTGCTTCTCGTGCGCGCCTTCTTTCTACCTGCAGGCACCTCTGACCCCTGCAGCATAGCTGCCCGTAATGATAGCACTGGTTCGTTCTTCAATCCCTGCGGCAAGTTCAACTGCACTGTGAAGGGCAAGAAAAACGAGTGTGACTGCAACGACCCGCGCTTCATCCAAGCAACCAACGCCGATGGCTCTCGCACATGCGCCTACAGTAAGCCTCTGCTGCTGCTGTCGTCGGCTGATGCTGTTTGATGATGTTCTCACAAGCTGGAACCATCTCAGCAACACAAATTCTTTCCTCCTCGCATTGCTCTCACATCTACCTTTTTGCCCTCTTTCCTCAGTTTTTCTCCCTTCAGCTCTCCTCCCTCAGTCCCTCCATCACCTTTTCCTCTCAACCCTCCCTTCCCTTTCTTCTCTCCACCGCGCCTATCATCAGGGAATGCATGCAAGTCAGCCCAGCGCAATCCGTGTGCGGTGGGGCAGTGTGTGAATGACGGGGCGGGGTCATACTCGTGTGTTTGTCCACCGGGCTTCAGGCAAGGCACCACCGTCGATGGCACCTTCTCCTGTGCTCCAGGTACCTTCTCCTGTGCTCCAGGTACATTGTCTTGTGCTTCACGAACCTTCTCCTGTGCTCCTGGCACCCTCTCTCGTGCTCAGGTACAAAATGATGAGAACATTGTGTTTGAATCTCAGCCAATAGACCACTGGGATAAAAATGCATGCTAAATAGTGAAACGGTGCACCCATAATCACCCAAGTCAGCGGGCCGGTAGCCCTTCCCTAGGATCAATAAGACATTCCTAGTGTTGGTCTTCTGACACCCCCCCCCCGTTCATAGGGAGGCTCTAGGACACGGCACAGTGGTAGCGCCAGCATTTGCATAAATGGGGATTCGAACCTGATAACTTCGCTCTGGTACCATGCCTAGATCACAGCCACTAGACCACTGGGATAAAAAGACTTGATATTAAGTAAGGTCAGTGCGTTCATAACTCCCCGAGCCAGCGAGGATGTAACCCTTCCCTAGGATCAATCGAGTATCCCCAGTGCTGGTCTTTTGACACGTATTCACAAGAATATCGGTCAGGGTTTGAACTTGACTGCACAAAACGCTGGGGTTACGTAATCGTACATGCATGACAGACACGTACACATAAGGCCCGAGCTCAAGTCCCAGCAACTACACATGTGCAAATATTGTGCACTGTACCTCCCACTTACTCTCTTTTGTTGATGCTTTTGTTTTTGCATGTTGCATGCTATGCTGCAACTCTTGTTATTCAATTTTGCACGCAGTGCGTTGTGCCCCCCCATTTACTCACCTTTGTTGATGCTTCTGCTCATGTTGCTTGCTGGGCTGCATGCAATGTTCGATGCTGTACTGCATGCAGGTGACACCAACAACACCCACACTGTGCTCTCTCCCAATGTCCGCTGCTCCGATGTCTTCCCGGTCTACGGCCTCACGCTCACCGAATTTCAAGCCCAAAACGTGCGTCTCCTGCTCCCTTGAGAAGCCCCAAAGGTTTTGCTTAAACACCAGAACGTGCGTCTCCTGCACCCATACCTCATCCTGCACCTTTGGGAATCCTAGAAAATGATAAGAGAATTTATAGGACCAAAACGTGCGTCTCCTGCCCCACAAGAAACCAGCAGTTGCCTTCCCTGTCTTTTCCTGAACCTGACATGCAAGCTCCTGTCTCTCATGTCTGCCTAGGTGTGTGCTCTGTCTCTTCATGCCTCTCCCTCGGTGCATGCAGCCATCGGTGTCGTGTGCAGCACCCATCCCACCCTCCACGGTTCTCAAAGTGGCCAGCCCAGCCTCTCTCATCCCCTGCTCCGTCTACTACACCACTCAGCAGGTCCCCAGCTCTCACCCTTCCTGCCTAACCCATCTTCCCGATCTTACTCTGTCTGCACCTTTAACCATGTCCTTCTGTGCTGTTCCCTGTCCGTTCCCCCCTCCATCTCATTTTAACTGCCATGTCCTGATCTCAGACTGAACGTTCCTCACACGCTCTCAATCCTGCTTCCCCTGCCTCCCACCTTCTCCTCCTCCTCTTCCTTGACCATCCCATTCTCAGGGCGACACCTGTGCGGACCTAGCAGTGTACTTCAAAGTGTACTGGTCCTGCCCATCTGACGCCTGTACACCAGCGTTCGAGGCTCTCAACCCCAGCTTGGACTGCACTGCCAACGGCGGCTTGCTGCAGCCGGAGCAGGCGGTGTGTGTGGAGCGCATAAGGAATCAAGTGGGGCTCATCCCGGTGTGCTCGCAGTACTACCTGGTGCAGAGCGCAGAGACGTGCGAGTCCATCCGCAATGTGCCCTACCCCCCTCTGAGCCCCGTTGACTTCTTCCGCCTCAACCCCGGCATCAAGTGCAACCGCCTCATTCCAAACACCGACGTTGGCGGCTTCACTGGCTTTGAGGTGCGTGTGTGGCACCGGCTCTGCTCATGACCTCTCTGCCCTTCCTTGTGGATCAACCAACCTTGTTCTCCTGCTTCCTTTTTCACCCCACCCCTCACCCTCCACTGTCCACCATCCTAGGCATGCATTGCGAGCTCCACGTCGTACACGCAGGGCACGTGCCCGCGTGCGAATGCGTATGTGGTGGGGACAGGCGACAGGTGCACGGCCATTCAGGTGAAGTACTTCCGGGGCATCAAGGGCTGCTACAAGCACATCAACGGATACGACTGCATCGACAGGCTCGTCAAAGCAACCCGCGTGTGCCTGCCTGACAAAGTCAAGCTTCAGCAAGGAGTCTGCGACAGCTGACCTCCTGTAGGCTGCCTTCATATCTGGCAAAGCTAGATCTGGCAAAGTTGTAGCATTCCGAAAGTGCAGATCATCCTGGCCGGTGTTTATAGCATATGCTCCTCATGGTCTTTCGCTCCACACCCAATGACTGTAACAGGATGGGTAACCTCGTCTACATGTTGATGGCTTATGGGGCGGGGGAAGGGTGGAAGAGGGAAGTAGGGGAAACTGGGATGATTGCATTCAAACTGATTCAGTCCGATCTGATCAGGACGTGCTTGATTTTCTAACAACTTCCAGACAGTTGGTTGTGTCAACTTACACATTTGTGCTATAGAGGGGTTGGGTTGTTGTCTGTAGTACCTTTGTATACCCTCATCAGTCATCCATTCAATTTTTGACATGGTATCAGATTAGGATACGTTTCTCGCCTCCATGCCTCCTACCTCCCTAGGTGCCTTTGTCCCCTCACGCCCCCCCGGTAGCGCAACTAATGTCATGCCCCATGCCCCCCATGTGCGCCCCGTCGAGCCCCAATGTCGCGCCCTGCTTCCACGCACTTTGCCGTACCTTGCAGCTGCGCACGGCCGCGCGCTTTGTTGTGCACCTGCCAGGCCCCGCCGCGTCCTGCTGCCATGCACCCAGCTGCGGTGTGCCCCGCAGCGCACCTACGCGCCTTGCCGCGCGCTCTGCCGCGCCCTAATGTGTCCATGGCATGCCCTGGTGCACCCTGTCACGCGCCATGCGGCACCATGACGCGCTCTGCATTGCGCTCGATTGAGTCATGCTCTGTGCCAGGGAGCCTTGCCGCACAGCTGCTGTGCACAGGTGCACCATGTCGCGCGCCTGCCTTGCCTTGCTGTGCACCCACAACAGCACTTGCAATCGCCGCCAAGTGTCATTGCTGCCCGCCGTTCCCCATGCGGCCGCCCTGCCTGTGACTTTCTCCTCCGTCTGTGGTTGTCCCCCCTCATCTCTTGCAGCTATGCTTTTGCTAACTCCTGCCATGGTTTTGGAGTTTGTGCTGTGACTCGATGCAGAGGGACAGGCGGCCCATTTTGACACATGGTTACTATATTTCATGCTCCACTTGTGAAACCATCTGTGAGGTGATGAAACCCTGTACGCCCATGCGTTGGAAGAGCTACCCGCCCCCCCAGTGTCATCCTGATCTTGCTGTTGAGGCCCCGTCGGTGGAGAGGGAGGCTCATCGCATGGCATAGCTTGCGTACATGGTTTGGGAGTCCAGTAACGTTGCTGCGCGCCTTGCGCTTAGTCACCTCCTCCCGTCGGCCGAGCGGGTGCATTTTCGCTAGGACGTAACGGAAAAGGAGTATCTTGATGTTATTGTTGCTTGCTACTCCACCTCCTCCTCTGCTACTATAGGACGCTTCATAATCTCCAACCTTTCTTTACGGTCGTTGAGCTCATTATCCAGTTGGCTCGCTTGACGCTAGCTTCTGCGCTGTTTGCACTACTGACCACCTTGCTAAGCCTCCGTCCTCCTCTCCCCCACTCCCTCCTTCCCCATTTATCTCAACATGCACCTCTTAGCGACCCACCTACTTGAGTGCCTCATGCATGTCGTGGCACCCTTCTGGTCATGCACTCCATCATCCTGGATTTTTTGTTTTGTTTTAGAGACTAGTCTCACAAAGATCGAAACCCCTCTATTCTACCGCCTCCGCCATTAGCACAGTAGTCTCTCCCCCTCCATAATAATAATAGTATTGGTAATAATAATGGTACTAATAGCAATAATAGTGAAAATAAAATGGACATAGCACAGCCCCAAAGTAACTCGGTATCATGTAACCTCACGACTATCGCGTAAAAGAGCTTAGGGTACATTTCGGATGTGACATGTCCAGAAAGAAAGTGCCACAAATGTATGTTTCACTAGTTGTGATACTCTAAAACCACTTTCGTAACTAATTGTAGGGAAAAATATGCAAATGGTAACACTTATGATGCTCAATAACGCGTACAATGACATATACATGTACATTTGCTGGTTTGGTAACCCATGTGCGGGATCACGCGATAGGTAAGGACGCGTCATAATTAAAACACCGATCCTGCGCAGGATTAATGTTTAGCTGGTACAGTACTTTCACGACATCGCCAAATGGTTGTTACATTTTTTCGCTAATTGTCGCTAAGATATAGTAGTCCCCTCGGAGTCAGGCGATCGATGTGCCCTTCTCATATAACAAATCGTGCAATTTCGTCCACATCGGGCAATTTTGCCCCATGATTTTTCGATCGTGCCACTTGAGACTTGTGGTGGGCCCGCGATTGCAACACAGTTGTGGCACACTGATGTGACGATCGATTTAGCACGATTAGTGAACAATCCCGATCCTTCACCGGTATTCCAATTGAGACGCGTCCTAACTAGAAAAAACTCCCGTTCAAAGTGGCCCCGATTAACGTTTGTCCCACTCTTGCCAAATTAGACTAACGAATCCTGACGCACCCAACTCGTGGTACATTCACAAAAAAAATTGGGCTATGTACGTACGAGTGGTTACAAAGCAAAAACATTTTATACATTCGCCGACAATTTCATCGTTTTGGAACATTGTTTAAGTATTATTCTATCGTACACCATTGAACCCTTTTCGGATCATAATCGCCTTGCGAAAAGACGTTTATGCGATTTTTTTTCTCTATAGAAATGACGTACGGACTGGCATGTGCATGTTTCTTTTCCCACTATACAACTAGACCACGCCGAAATCTATTTTTTTTCATATGTATAGCAAAATCATTTTTGGCAGAGAAAAGTTTTATAAAATGGTTGAGAAATTTGATGTGAGTTAAGATCATTGGAAGCGTGCGTTTCTTTTGGCCTCTGTCTCTGCCTCTTGTGCTCTGTCTCCACCCCTCACCCTACTATCTCCACCCATCGCCCCGCTGCCTCCACCCGTCGCCCCACTGTCTCCACCCCTCGCCCCTGTATCCTCAACATCCCAGTGACCTCAGCAACAACCAATTTTCTTCCTCCATCCCCCAATTCCTCATCGACTTGCCATTGCTCAAGTCTGTGTAAATAGCCACACCTCTTTTTTTTTCTCTCTCTCTTTGGGGCGTGTGAAATAACGAATCACCGAGCTGTCTACAGCACGCTCTCGTTGTACATGGCGCTGTTCAAGGCGCTGGTCAGGTCTCTGTGAATCTGCACCTTATTCTCTTCCACTCGTGATCACTCATTGAAACCACCCTTCTTCCTTTTCCGGTTCTCCCAAAACACTCGTAAACATGCACACGTATTCACAACTCTGCCTTTGACTGACGGGTGTCAGCTTTTGAGGAATAATTTTTAGAGACTTGACGTTGTTTTGTGTGGATCCGCGACAAGGTTCCCCCATATCTGGCAATCAAGAAGCTGTATTCGCACCCACGCAGATCTGCACCCACACAGATATGGCAATACAATGCTTGAGCCATAATGGTGGCGGTCTAACTCTGAAGTACCATCCAATGGGAGGGGACGAGCTGCACACCTTCCTGGATCATCCCGAATTAGTCGACTCACGCTGAGTGAGCCACAAGCTGGCCCGCTTAACGCTTCATCTTCGCGCGTGATCGTCTCGGCCTGTTGTGGGCGGGCTTGGCTTAAGCGTGTGCTTATTGTTGATGTGCATGCGTGTGCGTGTGTGTGTGTGCGTGTGTGTGTGTGTGTGTGTCTGTGTGTGTGTGTGTGTGTGTGTGTGTGTGTGTGTGTGTGTGTGTGTGTGTGTGTGTGCGTGTACGTGTGTGTGTGTGATGGTACATGTGCATGTGCATGTTCGTTCGTATGCACGTGCTTGTGCGTCGTGTGCTGCAAGGATTCGGCCAATGGTGCATTCAAAGGATCAGTTCCCATGCCAACAAACCTCAACGCCGCATTCACAAATCTGTGCGCCTCCAAAGCATTCATATCAAATCTGGGCCTGGGACATTCTAGTATAGAGAGATAGCTCAAGAGCCAGAGGAAAACTAAAACCGGAATATGCAGGGGAAACCAGAGAAAGATTTGCATAAATAAGCCTGCTTGATTGATTTTAATTGCAACCGAACATGCTGTATGTGTTCAATTCAGGACAACAAGCTCAAGTTTACACTAACGTTGATCAATCGCAAGTGACAAGTAACCAAACGCGTGAAACGAATTACCAAACATGCGAAATTGCAGGTATAAGTTACCATACGCGTTATCGAGTCTCAGATGTGTTACCGTTCGCATATTTTTTCTAATTGTGGTACTCGGAAACCAGTATCCGTGACTAATTGTGATAATCAGAAACTAGAACTGTTTCTACAATAACTTTAGACACCTGCCCGATAGTACTGTTACACATCTGCCGACCGATGTATGTAAATCGTATTTCATTGAGGCTGTCTGACGGACCTACATCATAGTGACAGTCCCAGAGTCAAGTTTTGTCGACGAAACTCAACTTTGCACTTCAGTCACACCCTAGTGCCCCAGGCCGGCAGGCCGTCGGCGCTCACGGTTAGATTCGCCCGTTAGTGAGTTTTCGTGGCACAGCATCGTGTCGTGTGGTTGTATTGGGCAGAACCAGTGCTGTGAGGACGTCGCGACCTCGTGATGGAAGACCCGCTATAATCAGACTGCTGCGCTGTCACTAGGCGGCACAGCAGGCGATAGTAGGAACCCCCCTGTGATGCAGAAAAGCCCCGCCGGGAAATCCGTCTTAAAACCCAGGGTCCACAGGTTTCAAAGGTAGGAAGGTTGGTTCGGAAGAAGCTTACAATTGGATGGCGAGTAGCTGGGTTCCCGAAAACGCTGAACGCTGTTCGCCCGTTTTTGGGCGACAACGCTGTTACCACAATTGTCAGGCGACACAATTGCCAAACGTGAAACATCGCCAAACACACTCTGCGACATTTTCCCATTGCCTGCCGAGTCCAGTGACGGCTTGGTGCAAGCAAGAAGTAGGACGTCGTAGTATGACATACTCAGGAATCATTGGTAGCAACCACATCACCAACTTAGAAATCTAGGCTTGCGACCAACGCGCCAAGAGGATAGTGATTCGAGTGCAGGCATCGCCGCCGAACCCGCCGAATACGCGGAGCGCTCCGCGGAAGACGAGAGTGAGTAGGGTGGAAAGCGATCCGTCGCGCTCATGGGGCATGGGACGCGCCGTGAAACGAAGGGCCGTGAACTTGGGATGTGCCGCGCGCCAGTGAGCACTCAAAACGCGCATTACTAAAAGTTGAGAATTATAACTAGCTGACCGGCGGAATGAGATTGCGTGTAAGGAAATGTGCAGCACATGCGAGGGTTTTTATCCTGCGCCTACAATGCGGAGCATTTCGCGTTGGGAAGGGAGAATGGGAAATGGTGGAGGTTTCGCCATAGCCCATTTATGCGGCCAGGCTTCCCTTTTACTCCCCCCGAATCCCCATTCCCGTCGCCCCATGCCCCTCCCCGCCACCCTTTTTCCCTTTCCCGCCGCCACGAATCCCCAGTCACGCTGCCCGGCGATCCCCCTTCCCGCCGCTCGACTCCCTGGTCTCTCCGCCCGGCGATTCCCCCTCGTGCCTCCCGATTCTTCTGACCCACCGGCCGCGTTCCCTCTACCTTCGCCCTACTTCTCTTCGCGACGCCCGATTCACGTTCCCGCCGCCCGGTTCCCCTATATTGCCGCCCGAATCCCCTTTCGCGCCGCCTGAATCCTCTTTCCCGCCCATTGATTCCGGGCGGGCCGCCCGACCGCCCCTTCCCGCCGCCCGATTCCCCTTTCAACACGCCAAATTCGCGTTCCCGCCGCCCGCTTCGCCAATCCCGCCGCCAGATGCGCATTCCAGCCTCCCCAATCCCTTTTCCGGGTCGTGCGACAACCCTACCCTCCCGTAATCCCCTTCTCCCCCTTCTCCCCCTTCCCTCCTTCCCTCCCTTCCATCCTTTCCCTTCAATCCCTCCCGTCACACCCGTCTCTCCCTTCCCTCCCTAACTTCACAACCCTCCTTCCCTCCCTTCTCTCCCTTCTTCCCTTGCCTCCCTTCCGTTCCCTCCCTCCTTTCCCTCCAATCCCTCCCTCCTCGCCCCTATCTCCCTTCACTCCCTCTTTCCCCTTCCCTCCCTTCTCTCCCTGCTCTCCCATCTCTCCTTTCCCTTCCTTCTCTCCCGTCCCTCGCCCCTATCTCCCTTCCCTCCCTTCCCTCCCTTCCCTCCCTTCCCTCCCTTCCCTCTCTTCTCTCCATTTTCTACCTTCTCTCCCTTCCCGCCCATCTCTCTCCCCCTACCACCCTTTCATCCCTCCCATCTCATCCCGACTTCCTTCTCTCTCCCGTCTCTCCTTTCCCTCCCTTCTCTCCCGTCCCTCCCTTCCCTCCTGCCCTCCCTTCCCTCCCTTCTCTCCCTTCCCTCCCTTCTCTCCCTTCCCTCCCTTCCCTCCTTTCTCTCCCTTCCCGCCCTTCTCTCTCCCCTTACCACCTCTCCCTTCTCTCCCTTCTCTCCCTTCCCTCTCATCCCTCCTTGCTATCTCCTGTCTCTCCCTTCTCTCTTTTCTCTCCCTTCTTTCCCGTCCCTCCCTTCCCTCCCTTCACTCCCGTTCCCCTGCGTGTCGCACGCCATTTCCCCCTCGACTGTCCGCCCTTTCCCCCCTCTTTCCATGCTCGCTCTCGCCCTCGATAGCACTCCCTATTCCCCTCCTTTCGCACTACCTTGCCCCCACGTTTCGCAATCCCCTACCCCCTCGATAGCTCTCCCTCATCTACACGTATGTCACGCCCTTATATCCCTTGCTTCGCACACCCTCTCCCCCATGCCAACCCTCCCTTTCCCCCATGCCAATCTTCACTTTCCCCTAAGCTAATCCTCCCTTTCCCTCACTACCACCCGCCCTTTCCCCCAATCCCACCCATTTTCCCCCTGCTCGGTCTATTTCCCCCTGGGCTCGCCCCTATATCCCCATGCTCACTCCCTTGCCCCTTGCTCACTCTCTCCCCCTCGCCATCTCGACCCCCCTGTACACACCCATCTCTCCCCCTGTTTACTCTCTGTTCCCTTTCGTTCAACCCATTCTCACCCATGTTCCCCCTTTCTCGCTCTCTTTCCCCCTCTGCTCGCCTCTCTTTTCGCGGCTCACTCCCATGCTCACTCTCCCCCCCCAGCTTACTCTCTTTCGCATCCTCCGCACTCTCTTTCCCTCTGCTCACTCTCGTTCCCTACTTGTCACCCATGTTCCCCCTGCTCCCCCTATTCCCCCGCCCGTTGCCTTCACATCCCCCTCCCGTCGCCTTTCACTTCGCCCTCTCCCCCCCAGGCCCTCACCAACATCCCCTTCCCACCCCCGCCTCCGCCCCTTCCCCTGCAGTCGCTGGTGCACCTGCGCCATCGTTTGGTGTGGGGCAAGTGAACATTACGTCGAGTCACCCACGTCTCCAACATGTCGACCATTACTTAACACTGGGGGAATGTGGCGTTGGGTTACTGTTACCATTCGTACGCTTCTGGAGTGGTTTTTGCCGTTGCGACTGCGACGCGGGGGAGTAGAGGAGGAAGAAGAGGAAGTGTGGACAGAGCCAGGGGCTTGGGTGGTGACGGAGGGCAGATGGAGTGTCGCGAGGGGGGGGCCAAGCGCAGGGCGGATCAGCCGAGAGGGAATGGGGCTGAGTGAGATGATGCGGGGGGAGGGCCCGTACACAAGCAATCGCCATCCCACCTCTGATTTTGTGCGCCCACATACCCTTCTGCCAAGCTCCATTGCCCACCCATACCCCTCTGGTCCCTCTGTCCTTTGCACTCTCACACGCCACTGCTGCTCTGTCCGGTGCTCTCTCACACACCCCTGCTCACTCTCTTTCCCCCTAGTCACTCTCTTTCCCCCTAGTCACTCTCTTTCCCCCTAGTCACTCTCTTTCCCCCTAGTCACTCTCTTTCCCCCTAGTCACTCTCTTTCCCCCTAGTCACTCTCTTTCCCCCTAGTCACTCTCTTTCCCCCTAGTCACTCTCTTTCCCCCTAGTCACTCTCTTTCCCCCTAGTCACTCTCTTTCCCCCTAGTCACTCTCTTTCCCCCTGCTGCGACCCTAGTCATTTTCCATACCCCCTGCCTTCCCTTGTCATTCTCTCCTCCCCACATTGCTAGCATTGTCATCCACCCTCCCCCCTGCAATCTCTGAGTACTTACCACTCTGCCTTGCGACCCATGTCATCCTCCCATACACCTTGCTACCGTTGTCATTCCATCATCCTCTTGCTACTGCTGTCAGACCATCATCTCCGCTGCTACCCATTGTCATCCACCCTCGCCCCTGGTTTCCATGTCAAAACGCCCTTCACTGCGCTACTATATGTCGTCCCCCCATGTCCCAACCTTGTCATTGTATACATTCTTCTTACTATCCCTGTCCTACGTCCCTGTTGCACAGCGCTTCCGTGAGTGGGTCCGCCATCTCATGCTGCGAGCTACGATACACGCACAAATGCCAGTCACCGTGGCAGCCGAGCGCGAGATGGCTGCCGCTCATGGGGCAGGGGTACAAACCGGAGGTGCAAGTGGGGACGTCCTTCCCCGCTGCGTGAGAGAGCAGTGTGGGCCGAGAAAACGAAGTGGGAGGAAGCCGTGAAAAGTAAGGAACTAAAACGCTGGGGAAAGCGAGGGAGATGTGGACGGGAGGAGGGAGGGAAGGCGACGACCTGCCAGGGGATGGGAAAGCTGAAGAAAGATGAGGAAGCGTGAACAGCAGAGGAAGAGGCGGACAGGGTCGGGTGGACAAGGGTGGGCGAACCAATTTGTTTCCTCGGTAGAGAGAGGGATCACGAGCTCGCCTCGAGACATGTGCGGTTGTGTGTAGTGGTTGTATGCATACAGTGGCAGCCTGCAACGTTAGCCTGCTGGAGTTTTAACAAGGACTACCCTGCGGAATATGTACATCTTTAACAGTAATGGTAATAAAACCCGGGTACAACTTGCTCGCTGTCCGGGTGGGGGAGGATAAGTGTGCGGAAAACACTGAGTAGACTGGTTCGATCCACCTTGGTCGTGCGAGACACTTGGGCGAATCAAGGTACGTCTGAAAGACGAAGAGAGCCCAGGCACCTCGTAGATACCGCGGCTGTGATGTTCGTACAAGACACCACTAAGAGAAAAGCTAACAACAAAGACCAACTGTGGTCAGTTTTAAAAAGCGCAAAGGGAGAGTCTACGAAAAACATACACACGGAGCAAGGGGATTCAAGCCATTCATGCGCGCCATCACTCAGCTACTCAGGTTTCTCATCGAACTCGTTCACCCCCGCTGCTCTTTTTCCCCTCCCTCCGGCGGCCGCCGGCCTCCTGTCGCGAGGTCTTCCTCCCCCCCTCATTTCCTCACTTCCCCCTTCCCACGGCACGCGCACGTGCCAATTGAAACGGAGAGCGCCAGCTGCCTCCCCACCATCCTCCTTCACCCCCGCTGCTCCTCTACCCGCCTCTGGAGCCTCCGCTCCCCTCCGGCCGCTCGGTCGTCCTCCCGAAGTGCTCACCTCTCCTCCCCCTAACCCTCGGCACGCATACATGCCAAAGCTCTTGAGCGCTCCAACCTCTTCCCCACCAGACTCATTCTGCCCCGATGCTCCTCTACCCGCCCCGGGTGCCTCCGCACCCCTCCGGCCGCTCGGTCTTCCTCCCGACGTGCTCACCTCTCCTCCCCCCCGGTTAGTCAAACTCCTATCCCGTCCGCTCTCCCTCCATCCCTCTCTCCTCCTCCTTTTCCATCCCTCCCTCCCTCCATCCCCCTCTCCCTCGCCTTCTCACTCCCTGCGGCTCCTATCCCTTCACAACATCCTCCTGCTTCGGCCTCACGTCCCCTTGCTCTTCCACCGGCCTGTTGGGAATCGGGTGGGAAGGCGAGATACGGATTGCAACCGTGATAATAGGTGTCAAGCATGTGGGGAGGAAAGTGGGGGCGTGATTTGGATGTAGAGGCGGAGACAAAGGGAATGTGATAACAAACAGATTACAGTGGTTGGAAACAACTCAAGATCATACACAAACAATGACGTATGCGCCTCAAACATACCGAACGCTTCCTGGATGATACAACGTCCGTGATAAGCTTGTCCGTCTCCACAACATACTCATTAAACCTGCGGTAATAAAATGTCAGCAACCATCAAGGACAGCGGAGATTTAGAACGGTATGATGGAATCATGAGAGTATATGCCATAGCAACGATGAAACCGTCGACATGAACGAGACTCCTAGAGAAACCAAGATGAAAGTAGAAGCATCACCCACCTCTGTGGCAATCTTCGCACTCGTTTGTGGCGTGCGGGCGTGTTCTCAACGCGGGAGATGTGCTGCAGGGATATGACAGTATGGTTAAGGGGATCGCATGGAAACATGAGCCCCTGATCTCAACTTCAGTAAAAAATATTCCAGATACACCAATCGATAGTGTCGCATATGTTATTCGGTCTCGTACTTACAGAGGAGACAGCGTCGTGCACGGGAAGGGCGTGGTCCGCGGTGCGACCGTAGACGGCGCTTTGACCATGAGGTGTTGTTGCTGGATGACACCAGACCCGGGCTGAAAACTGTGGGATGAGTCGGCGTGCCACAGCGTCAGTGGCCACAAGAGTCACTTGGGTAGTGGGTGGGGTGTTCGACACTGGGCTAGGCGGTGAAGGACCTGTGTGTAGAGTCTGTCGTGCAGAGTCCCAGTCCCTCATAATATCGTCGACCCATGTCCAATCCATCGGCCCCAAGACTCTGTCCTTTCTGCCCTGCCTCACTCGTGTCGCTCGTCGCATCCGCTCCTTGTAGGCTCGGACAACGCGCGTGACCGTGTTGTTCCAATGGAGCACGGCCAAGGCAATTCGTGCCTCCATGCTCCCTAGGAATCGCACACGTTTAGGGGCATATTTGCAAATGAGAGAGTGGAAGGATTCATTCAACCAACTCCCAGCCCCTAACACGTATGGTCTCATCGCCTCCTCGCTGCAGTGCTTCTGCAACCACTTCTTCAAGTCAATATGGGTCTGCGAGCCAGGTGGGTAGATGGCGCTCTCCTCTCCCCATTTGTCCCGCACACAGCGCGGGGGAACATCACCCCTGTCACACCCTGCATGTAAACCCGCCCAATGGTCAGCACAAAGCGCCAACTCGTCTGCCACGTCTTTCGCTGACATGGGGCGTCCATCCCGAGCCAAAGTCGCGGCCCGCACCATGCAGTGATGGAAGTGAACACTCCACCGTTGTCCTACATTCACCTCCGTCACGACCTCATCCATCCCCAAGTCGTCTGTAGCCATCTTCATCATATCAGCATGACTACGTTTACCAACACCCCGCTCCTGCCTCCGACAAGGCCTCGAGCCGCTCCCCACCACAGTGCTCTCGATCTCCCGTGCAACAGCATCGGTTCCGCTTTCCTGCCCGGGGGGGACCTGCTGCGCTGTCGGGTTGATGTTTTCATCTGTAGCACGATGACATACAACGGGGGTGGTTAGGTTATGATGGGCAAAGCCATTTTGACAAAAACCAAATGACACAACATACCGCACGAGCCTCCCAAAGTTGCTGGTTGAGCTTGGTCCGCCACCGACGGCACGTCCGCCAGCACGTCCGCCTGCACATCCGACTGCGCGTCCGCCGGCGCGTCCACGATACGATCGCTAGACGAGATGGAGGCTTGTATGAGTAGGAAAGAAGTCTCGGAGCACGGACGGACCCCGTGGACGGGGTGTGGATCGTAACCGAACATCTCACTCACATCGTCCCACTGCACATCCTCCATATCTCCTCTCTCTTCCGCGAACTGTCCATCTGCCTGAGGACCACCCGTCGCATCAGTATCGGCTCCACCGCTGCCTCGCTCAGCGATGCTGCCGCCCTCCTCCTGCACATTCACATTCCCCTCCACACTCCGACCTGAGCCTCCATTACGGTTTGCAGAAATGTCGCCCATTTGGGGAGGAGATGGAGCCACCTCATTAACCTTCCTCCTCTTGAACACCCTCCCATCCGCACATGTTCAACCTCCATGACCCCCAACGAGCTCCTTCTCCCCACCCCCCCCCCCGCTGGTACTTGTTGACGCAGCCGCAACACCTTTCGCATCAGCGGATACTTCCATACTGCATTAGTGGCTTTCATCTTTTGGTAAGGGATGCTCTTCAAAATAGCGCACACGGCCTGCACAAGGGACTCCCTAGAACTCCCTTTCGATAGCCGGCCCTTATATCCATTCTCTAGTAGCCATGCATGAAGATGCTCTGGTGCTACAGCCCACACATCTGCAATGGTCTTGCATTCAGAAACGCGGAGAGACGGCTTCTTGGCGTCAATGAAGTCGTGAATGAATCGACGTGTCAAGTTCCGCCCCTTATGCCAAACATCCATCTGGTGTTCAATGTTATGGTCAATGATGGCTGCTTTGAAGGACCCCCCCTCGTCCGAGATAATGCCCTTGACCACAAAGCCGAGCTGTTTCAGCTGATCTAAGCCTTGTTCGAATGCAATTTTCTCGAGAGCTGTTGATGCGACACCTTCAATTTGTTTGGACACCGTCACACAGTGCATAACCTTCCTTGTGATCCGATCCATAAATGACACGGTGCACCATGCCCCCTCTCTTGCCTTGTCCCATCATCCATCAACACAAATCCATTCACCTGGAATCGGTCTTCTTCCCATTTTGGCTCTCACATCCTCCATCGACTTTGACGCCTGTTTCTGTATAGAGCACCACAAGCCATTCTCACGTCTCATGTACCGATAAAACGTCTGTTTACTAGGAATCTGCACTCCAAGAGTGCGACTGACCTCCCACAATGCTTGGAAGCCTAGACCGGCGAGCGCGAATGCCCCCATGTACCGTGACACGATGGGAGGGGTCCTAGGTCCCCGAGAACCTTGCCCCTCGTCAAAGGAATACCGTTGCGATGACCAGAACTCAAGGGAACCGCCACACTCATCACATATCCAAGCCACACCCAAGGTTGTCCACATCCGCAACCAAGACTGCAACCGCATCCGACCGTTGCACCCGCGCCGTACAGAACAACCAAGACACAGGGTCATGAAGAACTGGACGATCAGCAGCGGATCTAGTAGACATACCAGAGACCCCGAGAGCTCAGCAAGACTAGGCGTCTCAGGCCATCCGGGAAGGGAACGCTTCTTACGGCCCGACCCATCAGTCCGTTGTGCAGCATCCACCCTGTCAAGCACACTCCAGGACAATGGTGGAACACAGCAAATCCACATACTGATAATGGACGAACGTGGGAATGTGACCGATGACCATGGCATCATGATAGGCGGAGTAACATACATCCACACCAGCCAGGGTACCTCCTTACCACCAATGTAACAAATGGGTTGCAGCCTATGCCACCTCGTTACCACCATAATACGCATGGGCTGCAGCCCATGGCACCAGCTTTGTTGCATGACGTTCATACCTGGCAGGGGTAGACTCCTCATGCACGGCTTCCCCAGCAGTGGAATCTGCGCCCCCCACCTCAACCGTGTCGCGGTCATCATGCGGCGCACCGACTGGTACCGCTCCATGCTTTTTCGGGGACAGCGACATGCTCAGCCTCATCACACCCCTGTACGCGCGCCTCATCCTGAGACGTATCCACCCTGTGAAGCACACATATATGCAATTCTGGAGCCAGGTCTTTAACAGTAATTCGCATCTAAGCATGGCATGCAATGTGCCAAACACGCTAACACTAGCAAAACTAGAAGTCTGGCTGCAGCCCATGGCACTTCCCTATCGCATGGAGAAAACAAGTGCTATGAGCCAAAGGCACCTACTTACCACCGGAGTAATACATGGGGCAAAAGCCCGCGGCATCTACTTACCACAAGAGTAACGCATGGGCTGCATTCCAAGGCACCAGCTTTGCTGCATGACGTTCATACCTGTCTGGGCTTGACTCCTCATGCACCGCTTCCCCAGCAGTGGAATCTATGGTCCCCACCCCAACCGTGCCGCCCTCATCATGCGGCGCACCGACTGGTACCTCTGCATGCTCTTCAGTGACAGCGACGTGCTCAGCCTCATCCAACCCCTGAATGCGCGCCTCATCCTGAGTCGCGTCCACCCTATCAAGCAAGTGGAAATGCAATTTGGGGGGCAAGTTCCAATGAGCGTCAGAGAACTATTGCTGTCTTGTCTCAAATGCGCTAACAATGTTGAGAGTAGTGTCCTTGATGCAGCCCTTCACACCTCCAGCCTAGGGTGTCCTACACCCTAGGCTGCAATCGTGGGCACCAACTTACCATCAGCGCGTGACATGGGCTGCAGCCCATGTCACCTCCTTACCACCAGAATAACACATGGGCACCAAACCAAGAGCACCTACATACCGCCAGTGTACCACATGGCCCGCAGCTCATGGCACTTCCTTACTACCAACGGAACACCCTCGCAGCCCTTCCCGCCAGCATAACATCTGAGCCACAAATGGGCTGCCGCCCATGGCAAACCCGCTGCACCAGGGTGTTATGTGTCTACGGAACGCATACCTGGCAGGGGTGCTGCTTGGCTGTGTCTGATCATCGAGGGCTTCTGCATCGTCCGCTTCTACCTCCTCACCCTCGTCTTCCTCAGGGATGGGCAACATGTCCTCCTCCAGCACAAAAACGGCAGCATCCTCAACGTCCGTGCCCAGTACGCTCTCTGCTGGGGGAGTTGGGTCTTGGAGTAGTTCTCCTGCCAATTAAAGGGTGTCAAAAACAGGGTTCAACGTATGCCATTCGCACCTTGCCGCTCCCGAACCCAGCAAGACAACGTACACGTTAATATACACACCACGATCGCATTATTTTACCTGTTTCTTTGAAGTGTCTGTACTTGGGTCCACGTCGGTCCCCCCCATGGTTGTTGCCACGCTCGAGTTGCAACTTCCCCGAACTGTTGAAAAAACATTTCTCGAATCCGTACGTTACAGGGCGCATTGCTCGCGGTGCTTTGCACATGAGATCAGCCACCTTGCCGACTGAATCCGCGTCACCGTACTGTAGATCCTGTCCATGTGCCGTGAGCCGCATGCGAGCAACGGTAGCAGCTGTACGCCGGTCCGTCCCTGGACGCACAATGGGTTATTAGTGAATGCAGCATGAATGAACTATGGAATACGGGCTATGCGGGTGCTGGCTTCTAAGAAACTAACACATTGAACGATGTAATCCTGATGCAAGCACACCATTATCCAACTTACTCACCCTTTTCTGATGCAACAGTCATGAGTTTCTTCGTGAGGCGTGGTGCCGCCAGCGTGTATAGGTAGATCAGGTCCCCGCATGAGGCCTCCCGATTGCCTCCAAACATGATCGTTGCTCCGCTACGTAGCAGCGCTACAGGCTCCCGCATATTTCTACATATTCCCAGTTGCTTCGTTCGGTGCTTCTTGGCGATGTCAGCAACCAGTTCACTAAGCTTAACGCTTGGATCAGTCGACGTGGTTGTGCCGACCAGATTGCTAGCCTATGAAATTGGGAAGAGAGATTGGAGCAGGGATCAGAGAGGGTACATGGGCGCAGGGGAACCCGGGGAGGGAGGGTGGAAGAGAGAAGAAAGGGAGAATGAAACGGAACTGCAAGGGAGGAAAGGATGATAGAGGGATCGGGACGGTGGCACAAGGGATGATCGTAGGAGAATTGAAAGGGGACTGCCCTGCAAGTGAGGTAGGGAGAAGAAAGGGGGAATGAGATGTTGGTTCAAGGGAGCAGTAGGATGAGAGAGGGATTGGGACAGTGTCACAAGGGGTGGGAGGAGGTGTGGGAAAATGGGACTGCTTTGCAATGGAGGAAAAGAGAAGAAACGGTGAATGGGACAATAGCGCAAGAGAGGAAAGGATGAGAGAGGGATTGTGACAGTGGCACCATGGATTCCCCCCCTTGGGTTAGGGGAATGGGACAACCCTTCAAAGGAGGAAGGGAGATGAAAGGGGGATTAAAACGAGATTGCAAGGGAGAAAAGGGTGTGAGAAGGATTGGGACAGTGGCACAAGGGATGAAAGTAGAAAAAAAATGGGACTGCCCTGCAAGGGAGGAAGGGAGAAGTAATGGGTAGTAGAACTATGGTGCAAGGGAGGAAAGGATGAGAGGGGGATTGGGACGATGTCCTTTGGGATTGGAGGAGGAGAACGGAAAGGGGACTGCCCTGCAACGGAGGTAGGGAGAGGAAAGGGGGACCGGGATGGTGGTTCAAGGGAGCAGTAGGATGAGAGGGGGATTGGGACGATGTCCTTTGGGATTGGAGGAGGAGAAGGGAAATGGGACTGCCCTGCAAGGGAGGAAGGGAGAAGAAAGGGTGAGTAGGACTATGGTGCAAGGAAGGAAAGGATGAGAGGGGGATTGGGACGATGTCCTTTGGGATTGGAGGAGGAGAAGGGAAATGGGACTGCCCTGCAAGGGAGGAAGGGAGAAGAAAGGGTGAGTAGAACTATGGTGCAAGGAAGGAAAGGATGAGAGGGGGATTGGGACGACGTCATAAGGGAGTGGAGGAGGAGAAGGGAAATGAGACTGCCCTGCAAGGGAGGAAGGGTGAAGTTAAATTGGGACAGTGGCACTAGGGATGGTGGCACAAGGGGAAGGGTAGCGCCTGGGAAGGGAAGAGCTAGGGAGGGGGAAGGAGAGTGCTAGAGTGGGGGAAGGGGAGGGCTTGATAGCGAAGGGGAAGGGGAGTGCTAGGGAGGGGGAAGGGGAGTGCTAGCGTGGGGGAAGGTGGGGGCTGGCGGTGGGGAACGGGAGTGCTAGGGAGGGGGAAGGGGAGTGCTAGGGAGGGGGATGGGGAGGGTTTGCGAGAGGGAAGAGGAGTGCTTGCTGGCGAAGAGGAAGGGGAGTGCTAGGGAGGGGGATGGGGAGGGTTTGCGAGAGGGAAGGGGAGTGCTTGCTGGCGAAGAGGAAGGGGAGTGCTTGGTAGGGGGGAAGGGGAGACATAGCGTGGGGGAAGGGGTGGGCTTGCTAGCGAGGAGGAAGGGGAATGATTGGGAGGGGGGAGGGGAGTGCTTGCTAGCGAGGAGGAAGGGGAAGGTTTGCGAGGGGGAAGGGGAGTGCTAGCGTGGGGGAAGGGGAGGGCTTCCGGGGGGGCAGGGGAGTGCTAGTGAGGGGGGAAGGGAGGGCTAGCGTGGGGGAAAAAGATTGCTAGAGAGGGGGAAAGGGAGTGCTAGAGAGGGGGAAGGGGAGTGCTAGAGAGGGGGAAGGGGAGTGCTAGAGAGGGGGAAGGGGAGTGCTAGAGAGGGGGAAGGGGAGTGCTAGAGAGGGGGAAGGGGAGTGCTAGCGTGGGGGAAGGGGAGGGATAGGGAGGGGGACGGGAAGGGCTTGCGGGGGGGAAGGGGAGCGCTAGGGAGGGGGAAGGGGAGTGCAAGGGAGGGGGGGAAGGGGAGGGCTAGCGTGGGTGGATGGGAGGATAGAGAGTGGGGGAAGGGGAGGGCTTGCTAGCGAGGGGGAATGGGAGTGCATGCGTGGGGGAAGGGGAGGGCTTGCTAGCGAGGGGGAAGGGGAGTGCATGCGTGGGGGAAGGTGGGGGCTTGCGGTGGGGAAGGGGCGTGCTAGAGAGGGGGAAGGGGGAGTGCAAGGGAGGTGGAAGGGGAGGGATAGCGTGGGTGAATGGGAGGATAGAGAGTGGGGGAAGGGGACGGCTTGCTAGTGAGGGGGAAGGGGTGGGGAGTGCTAGGAGGGGGAAGGGGAGTGCTAGGGAGGGGGAAGGGGAGGGTTTGCGAGAGGGAAGGGGAGTGCTAGCGTGGGGGAAGGGGAGGGCTTCCGGGGGGGCAGGGGAGTGCTAGGGAGGGGGAAGGGGAATGCTAGGGAGGGGGAAGGGGTGGGCTTGTGGGGGGGAAGGGGAGTGCTAGGGAGGGGGAAGGGGAGTGCAGGGGAGGTGTAAGGGGAGGGATAGCGTGGGTGGAAAGGAGGATAGAGAGTGGGGGAAGGGGAGGGCTTGCTAGCAAGGGGGAAGGGGAGTACTAGCGTGGGGGAAGGGGAGGGCTTGCGGTGGGGAAGGGGAGTGCTAGGGAGGGGGAAGGGGAGTGCAAGGGAGGGGGAAGGGGGGGGCTAGCGTGGGTGCATCTCAAAGCTAGCGTGACGGGGAATTGGAATGCTAGCGTGACTGGGAATTGGAATGCTAATGCGAGGGGTATGGGAATGCTAGCGTGAAGAGGCTTTCGGAATGCTAGCATGACAGTGAATGGGCATGCATGCGTGACGGGGTATGGGAATGCTAGCGTGACGGGGAATGGGAATGCTAGCATGACGAAAGGGAGTGATCTTGGCTGGGATGGGGAGTGCTCCCGACGGGGAAGGCGAGTGCTTGCGTCGGGGAAGGGGAGTGCGCGCGTCGGGGAAGGGGAGTGCGCGCGTCAGGGAAGGGGAGTGCGCGCGAGGGGGAAGGGGAGTGCGCGCGTCGGGGAAGGGGAGTGCGCGCGTCGGGGAAGGGGAGTGCGCGCGTCGGGGAAGGGGAGTGCGCGCGTCGCGCGCGTCGGGGGGGGGGGGGGGGGGGGGGGGGGGGGGGGGGGGTGATCGCTAGCGTGACGAATGGGAGTGCTCGCGAGAGGGAAGTCGGGAGTGCTAGCGACGTGCGTGTGGGAGAAAGAGGTAGCATGCGGAGGGTTTTCCTCGCCGCACGAATTCCGCTCGGCTGTGTGAGATTGCTCTTTTGCACGGTGGACGTAGCACATGATTCCCTGACGTGCTGTAAGAGCTCTAGAGGACATTGCGTAGTCCTCGTCTCTGCACGGTCCAAACGTTGCGCTATACCATGATAGAATCGCCGAGCCACGGCACATGCGCGTTGCGTAAGGTGTCGCCCTCGCTCCCGCGCGGACTCAGGAGCCCGTGACGTTTTTCCTCGCTGCCAAGCTGTCGCCTTGCAGGCTATACGCCGCCCTCGCTGGCTTTTCCCTAATCCACTCAACGGACGTAGTGCGCGCCACTTCGAAGCTCCCTGACAGAAAACGTCCACTACTTTGAACCTATGCCTATTGTGTGCATTGTCATTGCCTGGAATTTTCTCAGGTGTGGCCTTCAAAGCAGACTAGGCTATTATCAAGCAGTGCGTTGGTGACTTGATTATTCAAGTCTCAAGTTTCTACCTGGGTGGTTTCAGGCTTCCTACCACTGTTCCCTGTGCGACACATTTGGGCCCTGTTTGGGCGCAGGCGATACAGACGCTACAGTAATTTTGGGGGGCGAGAGTTTGAGTATACGCAAGCGTGAACTTTCAGGCCTTACTTTGTCAACAGGGTTACACCCAACCAAGGGTAGGAAGGTTGAACCAAACTTGGCAAACTTGTGACCCCGGTTTTAAGGTAGCAGGTCTTAATACATGATGTTACTATACGTTCATCGCAAAAACAGCGGGGGTGGAGGGGTAGCGTTTAGTTCAGCTGCTTCAAAGCTGCTTGGCGTAAACTGACTAAAAGGTTACGCCATACCTACCGTGGAGCTACTTTCAAGGTTGGCGCTTCGGGATTTAGCGGTAAGTCAGAAACGTGATGAGGGATTGAGATTGCGTGCAGGCGTTTCATTGGCTATCGATTCAAAGCTACGGAAAAGCTGCTCCTACCGAATTGCTTGTGCTTCGTGGATTTTGTGTTTTTGGGTTCGCCCATTTCGCCCAAGATGGGGTTACTAAAAAAATTCTCTCATGTTCTAATCCTCGCTGAGAAATCTCGCGTTCTGCTGTGCAGGGTTTTATTGTTGTAAATTAAACGGGTGTGTCTGTGATCTATAAACTGTTAAATAGGTACAAAATTGAGAAATTTGGTAATTGCGTTTTTCTGTTCTAAATCAACAATATTAACTACGAATGCTACCCTTTTTGTAGCTCATTTATTGTCTGCACTGCACGCAAAATTATTTTACAGCTTCATCCAACATGTAATTGGATTCGTTAGCAATATGCAAACAAGTTAGAGATATATGCGTGTAAGCAATAATTACAACTTGCGCCAATACAT